CATTGGTGTGGACTTTAGCGAAGCCACGGGTGAACTCAAGTTCTTAATATTGGACCCGCACTACACCGGCGGCGAAGATCTCAATGTTATTCAGAAGAAAGTAAGTATTGAATTACTTTTAATGATTAATTAGACTAATAATTGACATTAATTTTCAGGGCTGGTGTGGATGGAAGGCCTCCACATTCTGGGACAAGAATGCATTCTATAATCTATGTCTTCCTCAAAGACCTGATACTTATTAATCAATTTTTTGTTATATTTTCCTTTACTGTTAAAACATTTATTTTTGCAATAAAATACACATTTACTCTTCGCTATGGATTAACACATAGACTGATAAATTGGATACTCTTTACGTAATATCTTATAATACTTTATACTACTTTGTATACTGTATATAAATTAGAGATAAGTTTTTATTCAGAAATTATTGCCTATACAGTATTTACAATTTTTATAAAAGCTTTTATAAGAAGTGTTTTGAGAGATTGAATGATTAGCGCATATCGTATGTGATATTAAATGCAATTTATATCCTTATGAGACGATATTTTTGAGATTAATTAAAAGTCGCGACACATTTCTTATGAGTAAAATTGTTAATTAGAAAACATATTAATGTATGTTTTAATTGAATTGCGGAGACAGACATACATAGAGAGGGACAGTGAGGGACGGCATGTGCTGTTCAACTGTTCAAATAGTAGTTATCTATCGAATAGAAACACAAAATTATCTCCAAATATATTCTGGTTTGGATTTTTCTAAGTAGACAGACATACATAGAGAGGGACAGTGAGGGACGGCATGTGCTGTTCAACTGTTCAAATAGTAGTTATCTATCGAATAGAAACACAAAATTATCTCCAAATATATTCTGGTTTGGATTTTTCTAAGAGCTTCTCAGCCAATCCCTAACCACATATCCAACCGTTTATTTTATTACCTGTTCTTATGTTTCAAGTGTTCTATGCTTTCAATGAGAAACAACACTAAACACACAGAAGAAAAAAACAATTTTCTCAGCAAATTGTTATATTTCACTCAATCGTCAACTAATATGGATCGACACCAAAACAATTGATCGCATAATCGGTTTAGAAATTAAGAGTGTTTTGTGACATCAACTCGTGTTTCGATGCCATGGATAGCGAATCTTATCCACAATCACTTCAAAACATCTATTCAACAGATGATGAGAGGTATGACTCGTATTAACACTCTATCCAACACTGCATTCAAATTCTCGATTTCTTCTACTTTTACATGAAATTCAATGCATTTATTCCTGAGTTTAGAATAACATATCAAATGAAATACTTATTCTCTTCTCGTGTTTAAGGCGTTATGTAATCAATATTCAAAGCGTTTGTCAAAACTCATTGTGTTTAACATTTAACTACACGAGTGTTCAGAACACAGCCCAAGCCTATCAATGCATCTCATTATCGCAATACTCGGTATATGTATTATCCTTAGCCTTACAGTCGATGCCCTACACTATCAACCCATTCACTCCACGACTGCTATATACAAATATAATGTTATTTATAAATTGTTATTTTAAAACTTATATATTTGGCGAAAACACGTTTAAATTTAACAATAAAGTCAAAAACAAACGCTTAGTTTAGGAAAATATATACCACCAGAAACAGCATTGAATGGCTGATGTATGCGTGTATTATGTGTGGATTATGATGGTAACGGTGCCAATGGGCACAATGCCATTCATGCCATTCCCATCCGCGCATATTCATTGCAAAGTTCACTCACAGTTACCAATGTTTTTGCTGAGGTTCTCAACGTTGAGAATAAGTGGCAGAGAATGAGTCTCTTGTGAGAGAGAAAGAGAGAGTAAAGCACTGGTGGGGAGAGAGAGACAGAGTGAGAGTGAGAGAGAGAAAGCTAAAAATGACGAATCAGTAGCGAATTGTTTAGTCGATGAGCACATATGCATACTTGTTGTCCATTAATGAATTGAACCTGGTGCTGGTGGTCTACACACCGGTTTGTACGGAACCCCTGAAATGGCCAGTTCTGTGGCCTTCACTGACGCGCCCTCCTCTGCCTCCTCCGAAGGGTATCGCATATTCTGTTCAATATTTTTCATATATTCTGTTCCCAAACCTCTTTAGTGTTGTAAATATTTTTCTAAACATATTTTTCATTTTTTATTCAACGATATTCTTGTAAACACATTATTTTTGCCAATAATATCAGCGGAAGTAGTGATGACTTGTGCTATGAGGTCGGCGTAGACTACGAGAAGGAGCCGCCGGTAGAGCCGCAGGAAACGCCGCAATCGCCGGTCTCTCCCAGAATCGGACAACGGGTTCGACGCGAGCGGACCCTATCGTTGTCCAAATCGGCGAAATTCATTGGTGTGGACTTTAGCGAAGCCACGGGTGAACTCAAGTTCTTAATATTGGACCCGCACTACACCGGCGGCGAAGATCTCAATGTTATTCAGAAGAAAGTAAGTATTGAATTACTTTTAATGATTGACTAATAATTGACATTAATTTTCAGGGCTGGTGTGGATGGAAGGCCTCCACATTCTGGGACAAGAATGCATTCTATAATCTATGTCTTCCTCAAAGACCTGATACTTATTAATCAATGTTTTACTAAATTTTAATCAATTTTTGTTATATTTTCCTTTACTGTTAAAACATTTATTTTTGCAATAAAATACACATTTACTCTTCACTATGGATTAACACATAGACTGATAAATTGGATACTCTTTACATAATACCTTATAATACTTTATATTACTTTGTATACTGTATATAAATTAGAGATAAGTTTTTATTCAGAAATTATTGCCTATATTTACAAATTTTATAAAAGCTTTTATAAGAAGTGTTTTGAGAGATTGAATGATTAGCGCATATCGTATGTAATATTAAATGCAATTTATATCCTTATGAGACGATGTTTTTGAGATTAATTAAAAGTCGCGACACATTCCTTATGAGTAAAATTGTTAATTAGAAAACATATTAATGTATGGTTTAATCGAAATGCGAAGACAGACATACATAGAGAGGGACAGTGAGGGACGGCATGTGCTGTTCAACTGTTCAAATAGTAGTTATCTATCGAATAGAAACACAAAATTATCTCCAAATATATTCTGGTTTGGATTTTTCTAAGAGCTTCTCAGCCAATCCCTAACCACATATCCAACCGTTTATTTTATTACCTGTTCTTATGTTTCAAGTGTTATATGCTTTCAATGAGAAACAACACTAAACACACAGAAGAAAAAACAATTTTCTCAGCAAATTGTTATATTTCACTCAATCGTCAACTAATATGGATCGACACCAAAACAATTGATCGCAAAATCGGTTCGCAAATTAAGAGTGTTTTGTGACACCAACTCGTGTTTCGATGCCATGGATAGCGAATCTTATCCACAATCGCTTCAAAACATCTATTCAACAGATGATGAGAGGTATGACTCGTATTAACACTCTATTCAACACTGCATTCAAATTCTCTATTTCTTCTACTTTTACATTAAATTCAATGCATTTATTCCTGGGTTTAGAATAACATATCAAATGAAATACTTATTCTCTTCTCGTGTTTAAGGCGTTATGTAATCAATATTCAAAGCGTTTGTCAAAACTTATTGTGTTTAACATTTAACAACACGAGTGTTCAGAACACAGCCCAAGCCTATCAATGCATCTCATTATCGCAATACTCGGTATATGTATTATCCTTAGTCTTACAGTCGATGCCCTACACTATCAACCCATTCACTCCACGACTGCTATATACAAACATAATGTTATTTTAAAACTTATATATTTGGCGAAAACACGTTTAAATTTAACAATAAAGTCAAAAACAAACGCTTAGTTTAGGAAAATATATACCACCATGCACAGCATTGAATGGCTGGTGTATGCGTGTATTATGTGTGGATTATGATGGTAACGGTGCCAATGGGCACAATGCCATTCATGCCATTCCCATCCGCGCATATTCATTGCAAAGTTCACTCACAGTTACCAATGTTTTTGCTGAGGTTCTCAACGTTGAGAATAAGTGGCAGAGAATGAGTCTCTGAGTCTGAGAGAGAAAGAGAGAGTAAAGCACTGGTGGGGAGAGAGAGACAGAGTGAGAGAGAGAAAGCTAAAAATGACGAATCAGTAGCGAATTGTTTAGTCGATGAGCACATATGCATACTTGTTGTCCATTAATGAATTGAACCTGGTGTTGGTGATCTACACACACCGGTTTGTACGGAGCCCCTGAAATGGCCAGTTCTGTGGCCTTCACTGACGCGCCCTCCTCTGCCTCCTCCGAAGGGTATCGCATATTCTGTTCAATATTTTCCATATATTCTGTTCCCAAACCTCTTAGTGTTGTAAATATTTTTCTAAACATATTTTTCACTTTTTTATTCAACGATATTCTCGTAAACACATTGTTTTTGCCAATAATATTAGCGGAAGTAGTGATGACTTGTGCTATGAAGTCGGCGTAGACTACGAGAAGGAGCCGCCGGTAGAGCCGCAGGAAACGCCGCAATCGCCGGTCTCTCCCAGAATCGGACAACGGGTTCGACGCGAGCGGACCCTATCGTTGTCCAAATCGGCGAAATCGGCCACAAAGACGGACACAGTATTGCGAACGAGACAGAGAACTATCTACACGTCTGGCCGCCCGCCGTGGTATGACACTCACGGACAGTCCATCGACTGCTTTGTTATCGGTTTGTTCACTAATATTGCCAATTATCACACAATTGTCTTAATATTGTTACTCACGCGAAGGCATATGCGGCGGAAGCGCTTCGGGAAAGACCACTGTTAGCCAAAAGATAATCGAGGCGTTGGACGTGCCGTGGGTTACGCTCCTCTGTCTCGACAGCTTTTACAAAGTGAGGCAACACTTGTTATGACAGCCCTCTCTCTCTCTGTTTTCGCAGACAATATTTGACAGACAATATGAATGACACAAATTGTTTGCTCAGGTATTAAACGAAGAGCAGCACCGGTTGGCGCATAACAACTCGTACAACTTCGACCACCCTGATGCTTTCGACTTCGACCTCCTCATCGAGACACTGCGCAAACTGAAAGAAGGCAAACGAGTGGACGTTCCCGTCTATAACTTTGTCACACATTCACGAGAGAAACAAACCGTAAGATCACGACCACAACTGACACTAACACTCGTCATTATAATTGTTTTGTTGTCCCAAATGTGTGGCCAAACAGAAGACTATGTACGGCGCGAATGTCATCATTTGCGATGGAATACTGATATTCGCCAACAAGACGTTGGTTGATATGATGGACATGAAAGTGTTCATCGACACCGACTCCGACATACGGCTGGCCAGACGTTTGCGGCGCGACATCACGGATAGGGGTCGCGATTTGGAGGGTGTCATCAAACAGTACAATCAGTTCGTGAAACCCATGTTTGACTTTTACATACTTCCGTCTATGATTCACGCGGACCTGATTGTGCCGCGAGGGGGCGAGAATCAGGTGGCCATCGACCTGATCGTACAGCACGTCCACACACAGCTCCAGTCAAAGGGACTCAAACTCAGGTGAGACCCAAAACCGAGTCAATCGCTGACATAAAATGCTAACCAAATTGTATTGACATGGGTTTAGATCTAAGCTAATTAAGAGCCACACCGACCAACCGCTGCCGCGGTCACTGAAATTAGTTCCGCTAACGCCTCAAATCAAAGGAATGCATACATTCATCAGGAATTGCGAGACAACGAGAGATGACTTTATATTTTATTCAAAACGATTGATACGTTTATTGATTGAATTTGCGCTCTCCTTATTGCCATTTAAAGTAAGCCATTGATTAAATTGAGTGATTATAACATCACGTTATAACACATTTGTGGCATAATATGAATTAAATTGTTAATCAAATGGTAACCGAAAGGACGTAATCGTGGAAACGCCGCAAAACGTGACGTATAACGGGAAGCGAATCAACTGTCAAAAGATCTGCGGGGTATCCATATTGAGGGCCGGAGAGACAATGGAACAGTCATTATGTGATGTTCTCAAAGATGTCAGAATCGGAAAGATTTTGATTCAGACAAACAGAGCCACCGATGAGCCAGAAGTGAGACCTCATATCAATCGATCGCCAAATTTCTTATTTAACTAATTATTTGTTGTTTGCATTGATTTGCAGTTATATTACTTGCGATTACCGAAAGATATAAAGGACTATAAAGTGATGCTAATGGACGCTACGGTGGCGTCGGGTGCGGCCGCTATGATGGCTATTCGGGTACTTCTTGACCACGACGTGCCCGAAGAGAACATATTCCTACTGTCGCTGTTGATGGCGGTGTCGGGCGTCCACTCCATTGCCTACGCTTTCCCAAAAGTCCATATCGTGACCACTCAAGTGGATCCCGAAGTCAGCGACAAGTTCTATATAATACCCGGAATTGGTATTTATTTTTAAATTGACTTAATTTACTAAATGTAATACTAATTTGATTTAAAATGCAGGCAATTATGGCGACCGCTTTTTTGGTACAGAAGTCGAGTAATTTTAATGATTATTTTATTTTATACTTCAAACAAAACCTTTTCATCGGATACACAGTATATCTACAGTATATGTAGTGTCGGATCCGATGACAGAAAACAATTGAGTTTTTATTAAGTTTATAATCACTTTTTATACCGATTGTTATAACTATTATATAAACTAAACTAAATAGTGAATGAGTTTTATATAAACGACTTAAATAATGGATTGTAATACTAGTCATGAATTTCTGACACAAATTGTTATTCAAATTACAAAATTTGATTAAAATAATAAATTGATACCAATTTTATGAAACACTACACAAACTATTTGAAAAGCATTGGAAAAAGTTAATAAAAACATTTTTAATTATACAAACAGTTTGCTATTACTTTAATTTTAATAATAATAAATTTTTAATACATATTAATTACGAAATTGAATACAAATTGAAAGAAAAAATTAAATAATCCAAAAGTGAATCGATTGATAATAAATGAAAATTTTTCAAAAAATGTAATAATAATTGGTTAACAAATGTTACATAAATTGGAGAATAATTAAAGGAATAATTAAATTGAAATGAAATAATGAATTGAATTAATATCTTCTGGAGTTATAATGTTTGTTGAGATT